TTCTCCCACTGTGTTCTTCAAGCAGGTGATAACTGACATTTAGTTATCGTTATCATTATCCTCCTACTTCTCCGTCAAAAAACATTTTAGGTTCTTTGATAGATTGCTTATTATGCTCACGATCTTCTTTAAAAAGGGAATAATGGAAGAAAATGCAACTTACTCTAAATAAAATTTGGGTGTTATTGGATTACACTAATCGTGTTAACCTCCAAAAAATGAGTTTTTGATAAATTTCACTGAAATAAATACTTTCAAGGTAAAATAAACTTAGCTGCAAAATTATAACCAAAAATGCGCATCTGATGATAAGAATTTAGAAATGTCTTATTTTATTGGCCTGAAGAATGTTTAGTGTTTCGTTGGCACCTGATTCTTCCCTGAAAGCAAAAGAAAACATAATAATAGGGCAGAATATGTATTACTGACCTACGGAAAGGCGAGGGTGGCTAATGCCGAGGCCCCGAGGCCATGCCGGGAGCGAAAGTATAATCGCGGGGATTTGAGTACCTGCAAAATGAAAATGAAGAGTTGAACCAATCGTCATAGCATTGCATAGCCTCACTCTCCTTTTAAGCTTCGTCTTTGACACTCCCCTTGGTCAACTTCCAGCGCCGGCCATCACACTATAGTCGGCGCTGGCCAAAAAAGGCGACCAAGACAAGTGCACCGGTCATCGAATCTGAGTGCAACTGGGGAAACACCTGACTGCAACGTCATTGATTCCTCTTGACAGTTCTACTGGATCCGGAGTTCTATCCTGCATGGGGACTGCATAGAGGGAAGGGGAATGCACAGACTAACCCGTATATTCATCGCTAGTTGTAGGAATACTGGCCTAAAAGAAGTCATTTAACTACCTTTACTAAAGCTATCAAAATTTAGTGCCCCTAAAGATATTGACCTGTTCCAAAATATGAGGTAAGAAAGGCGTCAAATGCACATTCCGATAAATACGAACTGGATAACTTCTAATATAGCACAGTTTCACTAGCTTTCGCAATCAATTTGATAACCTTTTTCTACTCCCCATCATTCTGCAAAGAAATGACGAAATTCCCGAAGGCAGCGGTTCTGTTCATCTAAATCACCAAATTTTCGAGGCTGATGGTCCTGCAATCGAGTTTACGCCAATGGGTCTTTGGATGCCTCGCAAAGTCTACGTAACAGTCGAAAATACTTCCGCAGTTCCAGCAGTTTTTACCTGCAAACTTGATCACTTCCAGTCCCAAGAGCAGGTCCCTCTCAACATCGAAATAGTTCAGCGCGAAGACACTCAGACTCAAAGCGCTAAGGCTTATGGTATGCTCTGCATTCATTGATGAGTTCCTCTTCTACCAGAGTTTTGCAAACAGCTGTTGAAGACAAAGTGGGCCTTTGCAATTTCGGTCTATCCGAGTTCGTCCTCAATCAACCCTTTGGCTCATGAGACCATTACGATTCGTCTAATCGGATGTGCCGAAATTTTCGGTGAATTTCACGACACGTTGAAAATAAGCGTTCTGCCTCTAAAGAAATATGAGGCTGAACCCGGAGCCCTCATTGCGAGGCTTCCAGTAATTGCACGGGCTTATGGCAGTCCGGTTGATTTCCTCATGGCAACGAAATCTATGAATAAGGAGGATTTCAATGAATGCCTAAATGCTGTGGTGATGGATGCCAAGCTCTCTGAGCTTCTGCTGTCCTATATTCCAGCATGCGAAAGGACCGCTGCCTTAGGCTTTATTTCTAGCATTACAGGAAAAAGAGAACAGGAAGTAAAACTGAGAAATAACTCCTCATTCAGTAAGTTTTACAAGTCTTGGACGCATTATTGGTGCCGTAGAGGGCTTCATTTCTAATTTCTCATTCAGAGCACATCACATCCTTTATTTAGAATTTGCAGGTCTGTGTTTAATTACATTTCTCTCCTTAGCTGTCAGACTTGACTGGCATCTCTACTGCTATGAAAATCGTGGTGATGATCGCCTTCTCGATCTTTGCACCGCTGTGAATGACCAGACGCATTTCACTGATGGTCAAACTAAATCAACACATGCTTCGGGCGAGCATGGTTGTTGAACTTCGTTTCTTTTTTGTTTACACGGTATTGCCTTTATAAAAAAAAAAACAATTTTTATTTCATCTCGTTTTAGAGGCAAAACCCTCTATCTCACTCCCTCTACGACCCCAAGGGAGTTACGCAGTCTTAAGGTCATATGCAACAGCTGGTAGACTTATTGAGCCAATGGGGATTAACGAAAGTGGAATAACCCTTTTTCCACTTCAAACCATTATTCCATCCCATAGAGAAGCCTCTACATTTGTAAGCATTGATGGACGTATTGCCAGTTTGCAGAAAGAGACAAAAATAGAGGCCTACGCTCAAGGTTTCATTTCCATCGAAAAGGCAGAAGATAATGTTCGCTTGCTAGAACCCCTCTTTCTTCCACATCTGCGTTTGAATTTGAAGGCAACTGTTACACAACCTACGTAAGTGTCAAAATAACGTCTTTTAATGTCTGTTCCAATGTATGAGCTAAGCTTAATCAGCTCAATTATATGTTATATGCATCAATTCGTGAGAAGGTCTAATGATAATATTATTAAGTGTTACGTGAGGTTATGGTAAGGTGGGTTTATGGAGATGGATTTGAAACCATTGACATAAAAATCGCCTCTTGTATATCCTGCATTAGTTAATGAAATCCCAAAAGCAGGAGTAAGGTGATAATTTAGGTTTTTTACTAATTCAGAAGTGTACAATTCTAGCAACAAAAGAGGGAGCTTAAAAGATGCTTTCCATTGATAACTCCGACGATGCTTGAAGACACGATTTACGGTAGTGCTTTTGAGCACCCCGACTTGTTTGGGTTGGAAAGATTCAGCCGTAATATTTTCCTCTTCAGTAGATGAAAAATTTTGTAGAGGACACTTGCGAATACAGACCACACACGCATACAAAAGACAGGACAGCTAACATAGTCCTCTAAGAAAGCAGTTATGCGTGCCTCAGAAGGGTGGGATGGTTAGTGAGT